CATATGTGATAATTGCAATTTTCTCACGTGCTTTTCACTATCAGCATAGTTTTTCAGTCACTCTAACACGTTTTGTATTTTTATTTGCATGTGGAGCCATTTTTTTGTATTAAAAAAAAAAGTAAAAAAAGTTGCGTAGAAAAAAGTTTTTGTTGTATGAAAAAGTAAAAAAAGGGTAAAATATTCTTTTTCGTGTTTTCACGTTTTGCGAAATCATATGATTTTCATTATATATTCCCTCTTTAAATAGTATCCTCCTTTTTACATAGTATCCCTCTGGTATTATTTAAATTGGATTCCGGATCTAGTTTAATTCATATCCAAATCTTATAGGCAGCGCTATACGATAGATCTATCTAATAAGCCTTATAAGCTAAATAATTATTATAATGCTTATTTTCATTATTTTAATTATTATTGTTATTTTTATTATTTTTATTATGATTATTATTTATATTATAATTACTATTATTATTATATAAGTACTTGTAATTACAAATTTGGTTAGTTTATAATATAGCAACTAGTTAGCTATAGCAAATTAATTTTGTATAAATAGAATAGCTTTTTGCTCAAGTTGTAAATTAATTATCTTATAAGTTATAAAATACTTGTGAGTTTTAAGTAATAAATAAAAAATCAACTTTGAAAAACAATTACTACAATAACTTTTTCCTTTTACGTGTCTATCATCTAGGATTTAATCATGAACTACTATACTAACTTGCTTTTGAGTTTGTCACTTAGAATAAATAAATTCTTTACATTTCTTCTAAGTCTCTAAACCTTTAAATTCATAAAGTCAAGCAAAGTAATTCTAAAGCATTCTGGATACCTGTAAGACATAAGATTCTCTAAGGTTATAAAGTCTAATGATAAGAAATTTATTTACTGTAGCAAAGTAACTTAATGAAACATATATAATAAGAGAATTATTCCCAGTGATAATATATAATAATATCATATTAGATAATAATAAGAATATATCTATTAATTATTTAAAGATGTTTTGATTAGAATTCAAATGTTATATTTTATTAATATATTAAATATTAATAAAAATATCTTTATAAACTATTGATTAAAACTTAAATATTTATATTTTTCTTATCAATCAGAATTATCTAATTAGAAAAAAAAATAGTGATCAATTAAATTAAATTTCAGTTGAAAATTTGACCTAATTAATCTCTTGATATTATTTAATTAATAATGTTAATATTATTTTGATAAACTTTTATTAATCAGTAAAAGATATAGATATCAATAGTATTTTAATAAAAAATAATTTAAAATATATTTTTTATAACATTTAAAACTTAAGAATATACCTTTTAGATTAAATTCTTTCTTAGTTTAGATTCTAATTCTATTGAGAATATTTTGAAAAGAAAAAAGTTAAAAGTATAATATTACAAAAAAACTTATTTCAAAAAAACCTTTTTTTTGAAAAATGTGAAGTGGTTAGTAAAAAAGAGGAAAATCCAAATTTTAGTCAAAATTTATATTATTGGACCACTTGCTGATCTTGATCATCTATACAAATTTAGTTTAATAATAAAAAATTATCAAAAATTTTGGATTTTTTCTTTTTCTACTGACCGCTTCCCATATATTAAAAAAATAATTAAATGCATTAATAACAAGTCTGATTTAAACATTTTATTAATAACATAACAAATATTAATTAGATAATAAAATATATGTGATTTTAGTTCATCTTTTATTTATTATAAATTATATAATTTATTAAGAAATATCCAACATTATTTTCTTTAGATAATTGTATCAGATGTCAAAATAGTATATCTATATTCTAATTTGTCTAATTCAAAAGTTAAAATAACTGTTACTTACATCCAAAAAAATATTCTTATAATTTAGTGATATATAGGGATATCTACAGCAAAAGCCAGATTAGGCTAACCTTTCAGAAAATATAATAATATAATTAATAAAAAAAATAATTATTGAATAATTAAATTTTTATTACAAATTTTATTAAGTTAATACATTTATATGTTTAATATTAGTATTATAAATAAAAATAAAGTATTAAGAGATATTTTTTATTCTTAAAAAATTATTAGCAAAATTTTATTTTAAGTCATTAAGGCCTTTTATTTTTTCGATTTAATTAGATTTAATTGTTAAATTGATCACGTGATATAATGTGATTTCTTAGAAAACACATAATTAGCTGAAGGCTGTTAGGGAAGGGCCAGAAATTACGTCATTAAGATTTTAGAAATTTTGACCCCCCCGTCATCATCCATTTTAAGAAATTTATAATTAACTTATATAAAATTTGTGAAACGTCATCATGAATTGACCCCCCTTTTAAAATGACGTAATTTCTGGCCCTCCCCTTACTTGTAATTTCCGTTTAAAATTAATAATAAACAACAAAGGTACATTTAAAAAAAACCAAATGAAATGAAATGAATGTTTTTTGTCTTGCATAAAGATAAAACTTGATGTTGATTACACGACATAAACTGCATCAATAAATTTAAACACGTCATTTTAGTAACCCTCCCGACAATAGTCATACAAAATAAGCGGGGTAACAGCGAACAATAATATCCATAATCTCATTCAATCATAAATAATAAAAATAGTAATAATGTTAATTTGAGAACAAGTGAATAACTAACCAAATTGGTGATAACCTTATTGTTTTATATGACATTGATATATTAATAATTAACACAAATATCACATCAAAAAAAAGTAAATTAAAATAAAATAAAGATAAATAAAATGTTTTGCCATGCCTATTTTTTAGTGCATCGAAGTCTACAAACAACAACGCATAACCTAATATTTAATAATAAGGTCATCTAAAACTTTCCCAAAAAAAGAGAATAGGTAAAAACACAATCTAGTATCTTAATTTGACATACGTAACATAACGACATCTTATCATTAATACGCGCGTTCATTGATTATTTGGATAATTGTTTACTTTTTGTTGAAATAAAAAAGGGAACAGGCCTCTTTTATTGTGACGTGAACTAAATTATTAAATGCAATTAAAATTTCTTTCTAATTTACCTTTCATAGGAAAATAGCAAGATCTACATAAATTTAAACTTTAGAAAATGTTTCAATACTTGTAATAAAAGTAATTACTGTAATTTCATATCTATATAATAATAAAATCGATAGCGGTTTAAATACATTGAGACTTCAGATTTCATCATAGCTTTAATAAAGGTTACTCCCGATCACCATAGTCAATTGTAATATTATTATCCTAGATGACCAAATGAGTCAAACAAGTAATAAAAAATAAACTGTTTTAAATTTCCAAATAAGTGTTTATTTTGAAGATCAAAAGCCCGTTATTTACCAAAGAAGGTTAGGCTTATTGTTTTCAACAACCCATCTTTTAATGTCGAAAGGTATGTTGATCGTTTAAATTTGAGGAGATAAAGAAATCTAAGCTTCAAATTTTTTGTTCTTTATGTTGATGGATATAGAGGAAAAGGAGAATAGTGGGGCATCGTTATGGGAAATTTGATGTGCCACACTCATATCATAACTTCCAAATAATGAATTTAATATAGATGTGAACAACGTTCGCAACAATGGCTAATGCGGGTTTATGAAAGTAGTTTAGTAATTGGATAGTTAATAATTCGTGTGGTGACATATGTAACCTGGAATACAGGAAATTAAACTATTAAAGTCTAACAATGCTTTTTTTCCAACACCGCCTAATCTATAACCGGATTTGTTACACCAATTCATGTAAATGCGGTAGATCTCGCCAAAACTTACAAGAATGAAAACAATTCCTTTTGAGAGTTACATGCTGTTATTATCGGGATATGTTATTTTTTATATTATAATATAATAAAGTAACTCATTGATTTTTTGGAAACAATAAAAACTCAGGTCAAACTGCAACTGGCTTCAGTTTCCTTTGCTTCTTTGCTGGTAAACCCCCTTTTTTTTTTACCAATATATTCGATACGCTAAGATAGTGTAGCTTTGCTCATTATCACAGCTATTTTTGACACTTTCCTAAAACATACTTAAATACCGCCCGTAAATTCCTAAATTTAACATTACGGCGTAGAACGTGACGAATATTTTCAAAAGAAAGAAAAGAAAAAAAACTAAGAAGGAATCCATTTATCAGGTGTATGCTCCTTGAACGAATAAACAGTGATTAATATATATATTATATATATATCCTTTGGAAAAAAATTTTTTTTCCTTTTCTTTAAAAGAAAATATGTCAATAAACACAACGGATGTTCTTGGAGATCCATACTCTGACCCTTCCATTCCTTATGAAGAATTTCCAGATAATCCAGATTTTGAAAAAGATGTTGCTAATTACAATCAGAAAAATTTATTCAAAAACTTGAACTCATACTTAAGCACGATTAGCATAATA